AATCTTATTCATACTGGGGTGAAAGGTTGATTAAATATTTTAAAAAGTCAATGTAATCCACCAATTAACAGACCAAAAAGAAAAAATCATTTTGATTGATGTAAAAAAAGAAAAAGAAAATATTTGACAAAAATCAACACCATTTCTTAACAAAAATTCTCAGGAAAATATAATAAAGAAAAACCTCTTGGACTTCAAATACGCACGTTTGAAAAAAATTTATAACCACCCAAGATCAGGCATAAGACAAAAAATGTCCACTCTGATGACTCTTATTTAACATACTAGTGTAAGTCCTGGCCAGTAGCTAATTAAGAATAGTAAATAAAAATCAGAGGTTGGAAAGTAAGGAGTAAATCTATTTGAAAGTGATGTGATTACCTACTTAGAAAATTTCAAGGAATCTACTAAAAAATGTCTCCCTACAACTAAAAACTGAGCCAAGTCACAAGTGCAAGATAAACTAAAAAAAATTAATTCTGCTTCTGTATACTAGTAACACACAATGGATATCAAAATTAAAATACCATTTATAAATGCTTAAAATGTAGTTTATGGGCCTCCCCGGTGGCGCAGCGGTTGAGCGCTAGGTTGCGCGAAGCTGCCCGCGGCCTCTGCGGCGCCCGGTTCGATCCCCGGCTGCTCCCCGGCCACAGGAGGAGGGTCCCACATGGCGTGCAGACCTCTCCCGCCGCCCGCTGCTCCCCTCAGCAGTGTACTTCGGTCCTTCTGCCTGCTCTGCTCCCCGCTCTGGCTCTGGTGAATACTCTCACCCTCCTGTGCTTCTGACTGTACACAGTGCATGTATAAACAAAAACAAACAAACAAACAAACAAATAAAACATGCCTCTATTTAAAAAAATGTAATTTATGTGTAATGCTAGCAAAACATGTATACCACTTGTATGCTGAAAAATATGATACTGATGAAAGACATCCAAAGAGGAGCTAATGAAAAGGGAAGATGCACCGTGTTCATGAATTGGGAGACTCAGCATAGTAAATATGTCAACTATATTCAAATTGACATACTTTTACTGGCCTGTTTATCAAGAATCAAACAAGACTTATTTACATTTTGACAAGCTTTTTTAAATTTTATGTGGAAAAGCAAAGGAACAATAGCTAAAAACAATTTTTATAAAATAAAAGGAATCCAATTAGATAATTTTAAGACTTAGTATATATAATGAAAATTACATGGTATTGAATGTTGGAGAGATACAGATCAATGGAACATAAGAAAACCTAGAAATAGACCCACATAAATATGTCTAACTGATTTTTGACAAAGGGACAAAAGCAATTCAAGGTAGGAAAGAAGTCTTTTCAGCAATGATGCTAGATCAAGCAGACATTCAAAAGAACAAAAATCAACCTCAGCAAAATATAATCCTCAACCTAGTCTCTGACCTTATGTAAAAAAAAAAAAATAGTTCCTAAGGGAAATGAAATAAAATGTATAAATTTTAGGAAAAAAGTATAATAAAGTCTGACATCTAGGGCTAGTCAGAATTCTTAGATTTAACACCAAAAGCATAGTCCACATTGGATAAATTAAGAAACTAGACTTCATCGAAATTAAAACCTTTTGCTCTGTAGAAGACATTAAGACAGTGAAAAACTATGACCTGGGTGGGAGGGTGGATTGCAAAAGAGGAATCCCACAAAGGACCAGAATCTAGACTATAAAAAGAATTCTCAAAATAGTAAAAAAAAGAAAAATCCAGCTAGAAATTAGCCAAAATAGACATTTCAGAGGACTAGATGGCAAATAAGTACATGTAACGATGTTCATCATTATTCAATGTAAATTAAAATCATAAGAATATGCATAATTGTACAGAATGGTTAAAATTAAAAACTAGTCACAACACAAACACTGGCAAGGATGCAGAGGAATTCATTCATTGTTGGTGGAAATATAAAATGTCTTAATCATTTTGAAAAGCAGTTTGGTAGTTTCTTAAATAAGCCACTACCACACAACTCAGCAACTCTATCTCTGAAAATTAATCCCAAAGAAATGAAGACATATGTTCACACAAAAACGTATGGGTGGGCCTCCCCAGTGACACAGTGGTTGAGTGCTGGGCTGAGAAGCTGCCTACAGCCTCTGCAGTGCCGGTTCGATCCCCGGCCGCCTGGCAAGGGTCCCACATGGTGCACAGACCTCTCCTGCCACATCTGCTGCTCCCCTCAGCAGTGTACTTTGTCAGTCTGCCTGTTCTGCTCTCCGCTCTGGATCTGGTGAATTCTCTCACCCTCCCACGCTTCTGACTGTACCCAGTGCTTGTATAAATAATTAATTTTAAAAAAAGAAAGTATGGGTGAATTGGGGATGAGAGTTTCACGAGGACTATAACTGAGATGCGAAAGCATGCATTGTACAAAAATGAAGGATGATGTATAAAATATGTAAAATAAAAAAATAAAAAGGGTACACATTTATAGAACCCTTATTCACAACAGCCAAACAGAAATAATCTAGATATACTTCAATGAATAAGTAAGCAAATGGTAGTATAGCTATAATAAAATTTATTTCCCAACTTTAAAAATGTTTTTAAAAGAATTATTGATAATGAAACCTGGATGAACTACCAGAAAATTTTGCTAAGCAAGCAAAATTCAGAATGTTGCATTTTCTGTGATTTTATTGACATGCCATTCTTAAAATGATATAATTATGCATAGGAATACAGATTTTTTAAAGGATTTATTTATTTATGCATACAACAACTGGGGTACAGGCCAGATGATTCCCAGGGGTTAAGTGAAGAGGACTAGGGGACAGGTGGTGGCGTGGTTATAAAATGGGCAATTTGTGGGCCTTTTGTCTTGGAAATAGGTATCTTGGCTGCTTTAATGTAAATATTCTGATTGTGACATTGCACTAGTTTTGCAATTTGTTACCATGGGGAAACAATGGATAAGGTGTACAAGATCTCGGCATTCTTGTTACAATTGAATTTCAGTCAATATTCATCACAAAATAAAACATAACTTTTTGAAAAGTAAACACACAAACTTCTCTTTGGTAAAGCATTCTATAGAATAATTAACCCAGTATCTTCAAGTCAGTGACATGAGAAATAAACAGAGGACAAATTTGGAAGTTGTTCTAGATTGAAAGAAACATAATGACCAAGTACAGTGTGGAGGCTTTTATTTGACTGTTGTTCAACAACAAAAAAAATTGTGATAGTCTGAGGAAAGAGATATTTGAATATGAACTTGGTATTTGAGAATATTGAGAAGTTTTTGGTAGTTTCATTAGGTATAAAAAATAGTTAATTTATGTCCTTAATTTTAGATGGAAAATAAAGGAGTGACTGTCACAATGCATGCATTTTTCTGTACTTTAAAATATTTCAGAAAATTATAAAATGTGATGGATATATGGAGGTTCATTAAGCTCTTCTCTATTATTCCTTACAACTGTACATATATATAAATTTTCATAGTAAAATGAATATATAGAATACATTTTATTTTTATATATAAACTTTCATGATAAAACAAAACTTATCTTGACCCATTGCTATCACCATTTATAGTCCTATTTTTCAGTCCTCTTTTCAGCCAATTCTTTGAGATAGTGGCCCATGGTCACTGTCTCATTCCCCTACTCAATTCTCTCTTTTTTTAAAGAATTATTTATTTATGTATGCAAGAGCTGGGATACAGACCAGAGGTGTGGGGGGTGAGAGGGCTCACCAGAGACAGAGTGGGGAACAGAATAGGCAGATTGACCAAAGCACACTGCTGAGGGGAGCAGCGGGCGAGCCAGGAGAGTTCTGCTGCACCATGTGGGTTGCTCCCTGGCCATCAGGGATCAAACTCATGCTGCAGTGGCTGCAGGTAGCTTCATAGGTTGCATCTTAACCCCTTGCACCACCAGGGAGGCCTCCATTCTCTCTTAAACCAATCTCTAATCAGTTTGATAACCCTTCAACTCCTAAAATTTCTTTCATCAGGATTACCAGTAACCTCCATAAGGATGATTCAATGGTCAATTTTCAGCTTTCATATGCTCACCTTATTTGAGCTATCAGCAACATCTTAAACAGTTTATCCCCTTCATCAACCTCAATTATCTTCAATTAACTTCCAGGACACATTTCTCTATATTTTATTTTTCCTCCTGGACTCACTGCTTTCTTCCTCTCAATTGCTTTTACATGGGTTTCTTTTTTTTCCCTAATCTCTTAATATGGGAATACCCAGGTGATCATATCTTGATCTTGTCTACATACATTTACTCCTTTCATAATCTCTTCTCATCCCAGAACCTAATCTATATGTGGGTTTATATTACCAGTTGAGTCCTCAATCCCAAACTCCAGATTTAGGCTCTTACACCTCTTTCCTCATTTACTGCTACAGCCACATCATCCTCATAACATCTTCCCTTGAGGCTTTTTTGAATTGCTCCCTCTGCCTGGAATATTCCAGATATCTGCATGGCTAAGCCCCAAACATGTTTTAAGTCTGCTCAGGTTTTACCTTTTCAGTGTGCCTAGTCTGACCACTTTTAGTTGCATCCAGCTGCCACCATCTCACATTTCACCATCTCCTATTTATGATCTTTGCATAGCTTAACATTTTTCCCCCACAGCCCATATATTCTTACCAGTTATGTATTTGTTATTTATGCTCTTTGTTTGCTGCCTATCTCCTCTCAGTAAAATATAAGCTTTATAAGGGAAGAGTCTTTGCTCCTACAGTTGTGCCTAGCCATAGAACATCTGTAAATATTGGCTGAACGAACAAATTTTTATTTTAGTATTTCCATCATTCCTATGTACTGAAAAACAAGCATACTAAATATTATGTTCACTAATTCTATATATTATTTTCCAAACCCAGTAGTCAAAGTGAATACAGAATGAGTGTAACATGATTCACTTTTACAATTAACATTAAATCCACATTTATTTCTGAGATTCTTCTATCCTGCTCATATTAACACTTGATTTTCTGTCTTTTCTGCTTAGAACAACAGACTCCAGAACACAAATGAAACTCACAAGGTGTGGAAAGATTACCCTAGGTATCTTAATGTTGTTGATTGCCTCAGCAGTCATCGGACTCATTGCTTATTTTGTCATTTATGGTAAGTAATAATTATGTCTGGCTTTCCTATGAAACAGAATTCATTCCATTATTGGGAAATTTAGGGATATGGGGAGTGGGAGAAGGAAAGGAATCAAACAAGATTATTTGTCAGAGAGAATGTCTTATGGTTAATAGCATGTACTGTAGATTTTGTTAGTGATATCTGGTGTAAGGAATTCTGACCCAGATTTTGATGTTTTCAACTCTGGGTATACATCTAGGCTCTGTGAAAACACTGATGACTAAAGTAGTCACAGTCCCTTCCTTTGCTGAACCTACAAATTTCTGAAGAGATAATCAAATACAAAAACTTAGAATCTGGGATTCTAAGTTAAATTTCTTATTCCAAAACTTGTATTTTTTATGTTTTTTTTTTCTCAAAATTCTCCACAAAAGTACATCATCCTTATTATTGAAGAATAAAAAGGAAAAAATTATGGGATCCTCAGATTTGATTTCCCTTTAAATGTTATGTACTCTGTTCTTGATATATTGTGTTATGTACTCTGTTCTTGATATATTGTCTTTCACCTACTCTTTCTTAATCTCTTCAATACTGAGAACCTTTTTATAGGGAAAAAACGGTCCGTACATTGCCATGAGAATAATTTTGTTGAATAAGAGACAAACAAGTACTATAAATTTAGTAACACCTTCAATTAACTTGCATTCAATTATATACACCTATGAAAATTAGCAATATGTACAAAAATCATTGTTCAACAGGTCTAGAACAACAATCAGTGTTCACTAAGTCTAGAAGAATACTACATTTATGTATATAAACATTTTTCTGTAGGATCCTCTTCTGCTATCACCTTGCCCCATTCTGTAAAATTCATGACTCACAGACTGCAAACTGCTGTTTTAAAACATTATAGTATTTTCTAATTAAAAAAAAATTCATATTTAGGGCCTCCCTGGTGGCACAAGGGGCTAAGACGCAACCTATGAAGCTATCCACAGTCATTGCAGCACAAATTTGATCCCTAGCCAGGGAGCTACCAACATGACACAGCAGACCTCTCCTGTCTTGCCCGCTGCTGCCCTCAGCAGTGTATTTCACTCAGTCCACCTGTCCTTTCCCCACTCTGTCTCTGGTGGGTCCTCTCATCTCCGCCGCCTCTCCCCACACCCCCGCCCCGCACCTCTGGCCTATACCCCAGTTCTTATATGCATAAATAAATCTTTTTTAAAAAAATCATATTTAGGGGAAAAAGTACCTAAACAAACTTCCATTTCAGTTTATGAGGAAAAAAATACACACAGAAATAAAACTACGTATAGTGGAGTAAAGAGGTCATACCCCCCAAGAATTAAGCATTTACAACCATCTCTGTTTCATCTTCCAAATATAGCCTTTTATTATAGACACAGACTTACTGTGTAAGTGAACAAGATGACTAGATAGATTGTAATGCAAGCTGCTTTAGCTGTCAGACCAAGAGTTACAGTCACAGCATATGCCTATAAACCTTTGAGTAAGAGGTATGCATTCAAGAAATAGACATACAACCTACACCTTTCATAAAGGGTATAAAAGACCCAGAAAAAGAGATAAGAATATTTGAAGACAGTAACTTTAAAAATAGGTATAGTATAATTTTTCTTTCACTAAAACCACTCCAATACCTGAACAGATTTTATTTTTCCCCTTTCCATGAAACATGCACCTTGAAAGACCAATATGACCCTGGAAATAGCCTGGTCAATTTGGGCACACAGTGGACTAGAGTCTGATCTACACCCAGAATGTATCTGATGTACAAGAGACTTGCTGCTTGTCTAGAAGAGTAGAGAGGATGTGGTAACCCTGGGTAACTTGAATGATCTTTGAGACAAAGTGTATAAATGTTTCCATGAAACAGATACAGACCACCTGTGGGGGTGGGGGAACCCACTCATCTTAGGTGCTATCCAAGAGAGCACCTGGAGGGATAATAGGATCTCAGGTTAGGGAAGTGAAATATTTCCTGATGCTTAAATACTCAAGGTGGGCTATTTCCAAGTGAACTATAATTGAGACATCATCAATGAATAAAAGATACATTGAGTTCAGAAAAACATAGAATAGTCAGTTATAATCATGCACTATGTTCCTAGAATACCTAAGATAGCTGCCAAATTCTCACCCACTAAGACTAGAAAGAGCTGAATCCAGCTCATGTTGTGGAGAATGAGTAATATTAAGTTGGAGTTTGGGGAGAGAAAAACATTAATTTTAAATCAATTTCAAATTTTGATTACTAAACAGACTCAGATAATTATTGAACTGAGACCATGTTTTGTAACTTAGTGCCCATAGCTTTCATTCCTAAAAAAAACTAAAACCAAAATTGTTTTGTGATAACCTCCTATAAAATATACTTGTTTTAAATACCAGTATATATACACACACATAAATGTATGTACACACAATATATACATGTTTTTTCATATATAATAACCACTTTAAGTTTGTGCCGAAACAATCCTGTAGTTTTAGTAATATCAGAAAACTACCCATGTAAAATATGAATATTAATGTATTTCAAATTTCACTCTTGAAGGTAGTCTTAGTAATACCTACTTCCCAGAAATTATAAACTTTAGCAGCTTATAAAAACAAAAAGTTCAAAATTAAATGCCTCTGCATGAGAATAAATTTTCTTAATAATGTAAATTTTCACAAGTCAGTGAACCTGTAGGAACAAGAATAGACCCTCCTGAGGCTGTATAAAGTACTTTAATAGGGTTTCCCCAGTCTTAGAATTTATTTCCTTTGTCTTTATATTTTTTTTGTTAATGTATAAAAGACATAACAACTTCAGGTGTAATTACATGTCTTGTTAAAAGTCACTGTATGATTTTCACCTTAAGGATGCCACAATATCTTGTATGAATTCAAATTAAAAGTTCTTTGAGAATCTACCTATTTGTTACTAAATAAACAAAATCTCAATCTAACAAATTGAGACTTATATTCTTATCTTTTGGCATTCTATAGAGACAGCCTTGTGATAACTCCTTTTGAATGCAGATTTCATCACCATTTTATGATTTTTTTATTTCATTACCCCAGACTGCAAACCTGGAAGCAGGAGCCATCTCCATACAATTAATTAGTAATCAGTACTTAAATAAGAACAGCTGAACAAACCAAAATCTAGCATAAATTTTCACTACAAGATGTATACCTTACTTTGCTTTCTCTAATCCCGAGATAATGGTATGTCTTCTGTTTGGTTGACTTTGTAAGAGAGGGAATAAATTTCCTGAAAATAGTACAATGGGAGAAAGAATAAAGGTTATGAAACTATATGCAAATTCCACTCAAGCCTTCACTGGATGATTACTAGATACTTAATAGCAGGTACTAGGCTAAGTACTGTAATGGGGATTTAGCAGTAATGAAGATCTTCTAAAGCCTCATACCAATCCTTGCACTAAAATTGTTCAGTATCTATAGCAGAGTCAGCACACTTTCTGCTAAAAGCCAGGTAATATACATTTTCCTCTTGGACTGGTATAATTGCTATCCCATTGCTTGAGGCTACTGTTAGTACTAAATTAGTCAACATAAATGAGTGTAATGTTTTCTACTAAAACTATTCCTGCACACTGAGGTCTGAATTTCATATAATTTTTAAGTTACAAAATATTATTCTTCTGATTTTCAACTTTTAATGCAAAAGCCACTCTTAGCCCACAGACCATATAAAACCAGGCAACAGGCTAGGTTTCATAGTTTATTGACCCCTGATCTAGATCAGTGACTTTTAACCCAGGCTGTACTTAGAATTACCTGGAAGGCTTTTTAAAAATGTATTAGTATATATAGTATCACTTTCAAAAATGCTGCCTGGAGTGAAAATTATCATTTTAAACATTCCTCAGGTGATTCCAAAGTGCAGCAAAGGTTAAGAACTCCTGATTTAGGAAAGGAATACAAACATACAAGATTCAGAGACAAATATTTCAAAAGTTCAGTATGTCACTTCAAGATGTCAAAAATAAAGGCGCCTGGGTCCATGACTGTAATGTCAGGAAGGACGCAGTGCATGTTTTCTGATCCCATGCAGACCGGGTAAAGGCGGAGTCAGAGTCCTCAGTGGGTTTTGCAGGTTTTTTTATTTAGGTTTACCAGGTACATGGCAGGCAGGGGCGCTGGGGGGCCGGAAGGCTGGCAGGCCTCCCAGCCCCCAGCAAGTCTTTACTCTTTCTGGGCTCTCTGGCATTCTTTCTGCTTCTCTTCTCTTGGCTTCTCTTTCAGCTTCTGCTGGCGTCCCCATGACGCCGCCCTTAAAAGCCCAGTCTCAGCCCAGGTGAATCCCATCTACCTATGCCCACACCCTACTCCAGGGGCCCGCCATCAGGCATGCATTCAGGACCGAAAGGATCCATCATCTATGCTGATGGCGGGAGGGCAGAAAAGCCTGACATTTTTCCTTACCCTACAATGACCTAGTTGTTACACCCAATTTCCAAAGTAACTGTGCCTATTCATCATGTATATACATTCCATTCAACCAGAAGGCAGAATAAGGAAAGAACATACCTTCTTTTAATAAGAAAACATATCAGAAAATGCACAAATTATTTTCCCATTCTCTCATTTGTCAGAACTTAAATGCACTAGATCATTCCTAGATTTAACAGAATTGGGAAAATGTAGATTTTTTTTTTTTACAGCATCTTTTCAGCTAAAAGTCACAGATTTCTGTGACCTATGTTTATAACACTGGTCCTATATGCACTCTGCCAGAACAAAAATCACAGAAAATGAGAACTGTAAAGAGTATTAGCTTTGCATCAAGACCACTGTCTTATTGGGTAGGAGTTCTGGTTCTCTCCTACCAATGCTGTGAACTGGGTAATTCACATAACCTCGGCCTCTCAAGTTTTCTCACCTGTATATTGAAAATTATAAAAGGATCATCCTCATCAAAATGTCATACTGAGCTATTGGATATAAAGTATATATAAAGTACACAACATAAAACATTCCACACCACTATTACTA